TATCTTTTAGAATTACCCACAGCTCAGTTCAACAAATATCTTCTGCTGTTTTCAAACTACAATGGTAGTTTGTCAGGGTTTAAATAAAGAAGGGAAATGTATAGCTTCTCCTTAGCGGCTTGTTTATTTCTTGCCTTAATTGCGTCTGTAAAAGAGACCAAAAGGTTCCCAAGTGGCTTTAATATTCTACAAATTGTAAATTTGTGACAAAAGAAACCAGGAAAGTGCTCAAATATTGCTGCAGACTCCGTGGCACCTGTGAAAGCCTAAATTAATTTAATCAGTCTTTGAGGAGACTCGTTCACCGATGCAGGATAATATCGGCCAAGTAACGAGCTGTTTACCCTCAATACTTCTCTTTAAAACGTTTCTCAGTTGTATCAATCAATATTGTTGTGTATTAATTTGAATGAATTATTTTATTGTTAACAACAAAGGTGGAAACAGAAAAAGAAAGTGGTATTCCGTGACTATCTGATAATTAAATTAGTTTTTATTCATTGGTGACAAGAAAATTTACATTTTGAGAAAACACAAAATCATTCCTCTTCCATTTCTTTGTCAGATATTCAACTTTCTTTCATTTATCCCAAAAAACAAGCACATTTTCCATGTGTTTTGGAGAAAACAAGGGTTTTATGTTACATACCTTTGCGAGGAAAACAAAAGTATCAAGTTACAAAGTTGGCGCAAAGAGCTAAATTGTCATGTTTGTTCAACATATGATTGAATTTAAAATGAACGAAAATCATTGCAAAACACAAGAGTAAAATTTAAAAGCTGTCGTGACAAACAGTAATTGTAAGTAATTTTTGGACCTTGAATGAAAATGCAGCCTTGAAACACACACTGCTGAGAGGAAAAGCCCTAGCAGACTACCAAGGTAGATACAAACCGGAAGAGAACCGAGAAGGGTTGAGTACTTATGGGACTACCGTGCACTCTGCACTATCTGAGATTGTCTTGCTGGTTTATTATCAAATTGTGATAAGCATGAAAAAGATGCAACTTTTTGCAACATTCAAAAAAATTCTCTTGTATGGGTTCACAGCCACCTTAAATTTTTGAAAATTTAAGGTAACTCTGCACTCACACTACAGAATTGATTTAAACTTTGCAAAAAGTTGCATGTTATCATCCCAATTCGATAATAAAAATGGGGTCACTGAACTCATTTTTGAGTTATACATGTAAATGCTTAAAGCTAAAATTTAGGGTGTTTTTAGCAGGTCATATTATTGCTATGGTAACCTGTTATATAAAACTGATAACCGCAACCTGTATACCAACGATTGGGTATTTGTATGATACCATTAATGTAGTATCACTTAGGAAATAGTGGTAGTATTCATCCTTCAAAGTATCGCTGTTAGAATAGTGCTGGAAACCATAGCCAAACTCCTTAATATAAAAGCTTAAAGTTAATGATTACCTCTGAAGTGGAAAGACATGCAAAAAAAAATATGCCATTTCGGCCACTTTAGTCAAAACAGTTTCGTCCCAGTCACCCAGGCTGAAGTGTTCATATGGGAAAATGTTCATCCCAGTTATCAAGATCTTGGTCACGAAAACCGAGCTCTTGGTAATCGGCCCTGAGCCTGGCTTCTCATATGAATACATGGAAATTTGTACGAAGAAAAGAGTGATGAAGCAGGATCTTGGAATCAAAGCCAGCCCGATTCACTGGGCTCATATGAAGAGGCCCTCACTTCGACAAATGTTTGTGTTGCATGACTGGAACTCAGAAGGCATTCCTAGGCAATCATTGCCACCCCATTGTGGAGGAGGATTGGTACATAACTGCAGACTAGTTTGATATCCACTACCACATGTCATAGTGCACCTGCCCCAGGCTCCCCAGGATGACCAACTAACATCAACTAAAATAATTATTTAATTAAAATTTTATGGAGATTAAAAAACACATTGAAGAAAATTCTAATGCAATGAATGCAGTTCGTAATTTCACTCAACGAGTCACCTAAAAATGATCAAAACGAAAAATTATGTCAAATAATAAAGAGGGAAGATTAAGGAATCTACACTGAACTGTCGTGAACCATATATCTATCTGTAGACAAAACCTGTGGAGATAGTGACTCTTAAATCTTTTTTTTTTCACATTTTTTTTGTTACTAATAATGAAATCAAGCGGAAAAATCTGTTTCCATCTCAACTTGCTTACTTTCTGTCTGAAGTCAGCATTTCCTTAATCTATATTTATCACAGTTCCCGTTTTTGCAGAGAGGAACTAAGAGAAGACTAAGGCAAATGGTGAGCCAAAATCATGGCAAATTAGAAAGTTTTCAACAATTATTTTCAAATCGCAATTTGATCAAATTTTTTTTTTTTTTTTTAAGAGGTCCTTTGGGTGATGAAGATTCAAGTGAGAGAGTAGAAGAACTTTAAGGTTATGGGTACTTTAAATGACATTTCTGTCACTTTGTTCAGTCTTTTATCTGCTAATCAAACTGTTCCTCATTTAATTTCTTTCTGTGCTCATTGCTGTTATTGTTTCCTTTTTCTTTATGACCGTGCTTTTCTCTTTTTTTAAAAAAAAACATAAGTGAAAAAAAATAGGAGAGTAAATGGAATACTAGGTCTCTGATGAGCAGTTTGTGCTCTTGCAGGCACTGCGCTTTAAATAAACTAAAGCAAAACATCCCCCCAAAAATTACGCTTACATGTATGTTTACCATATTTGTAGAGCATGGTACATGTATAATGGCTCATATACCATGATGGCTAAGCCAATGAAAACTCTCGAATTGCATCATCCAATGATGTAGTTTTTCATGTGCGATATCATGTTGACCCCTTAAATTTGTTGAACCAGGTGTATGGTTTAAACATCTTCTGATCTTCCTCAGAAGTCTTAGGCAATCTTTGGAAATCTTCAGAAAAAATTAATGATCAAAAACAACAACTAGTGTGGCCTTTGTACAACTTTTTGAGAATCTTTGGAATGTGGTCAGAAAATCATCAGAAACATTGTTATGTAGTCTAATGATGTAATATACAAAAATCATAGCACAGTGAAACCTGTATTAAGTGGAGTACCCCATAATAAGCAGACACAATCTATTAAATAGACACCAGCTTGAGTTCCAAAATTTTCTTCTTACATTTACTGTAAAATAAACCTGCAGTCAGTGGACACCCCTGTTAAGCGGACATGGACACCAATTTTAAGCCATTAACTATTTATTTTTTTGCACAAAACCTCCAATAAGCAGACACTTCAAGGGCTATTTTCTTCTAAAAGTTCAGCTCAGACTCCTTTAACGTTGTTCAGCGACGTCAATTTAAAGCTAAATAGATTATACCAGAATGATACATTGACTAACTGGGCATTGTGCTATGAGCAGTCTTTGATCTTATACTGTGTTACACTGAGTTACTAAAGGGTTAATAATTAACTCTTATTGCACAATATATAGGAACCTGCTTAGAGTGGACACCCTGTATTAAGCGGACACTAGTGAGGGTCCCAAGGGTGTCCTCTTAATACAGGTTTCGCTGTACATGGTTGGTTGTGGATATGCAATTTCTCCTCTCACATGCAACTTTATATCTCACGAGTGCGAGCAGCAAACTCGCAAGATAGCTAGATGGACATTTGAAATTCCATATCTAAAAATTCCATTACTATGCACAGCCATGTGTTATTCTCTAGATCCTATGCTAAATACACACTTAAATGTCTCACATGTGCTTACCTGCTGATGAAACAGAAAATCCATGTAAGAAAACCATGAGGACTGCAAGTAGCTGATGCATCTCAACATTTCCCATGAAGAATCACTACGACTAAACATCAATATTAATGTTAAATACAGTCATTTTTTTATCGTTTATTTTATTGATACAAACATATTACAATATTGCAACAATTAAATACAGTCATGTAAATTCACTACAGTATTAAAACTCAAACACAAGCAGTAACAAAGAAGACAGCAGCTGTGAACTGAACATGTGAAGAATTAGGAATTGTAAGGTGTCGCTATTAAGAAATATTGTTGAGATCTGCTTATACAGGGTAGTTGTACTCCTACAGAAGTGAACAAAAAAATATCAAGCAACAATTGTGTAAGAACTGTGATGCTTTTAACATGAATGAACTGAAAGGAAATTTAAGTAACCTTTAAGGTACAACCAGGTGAGTCTGATAAAATTATTACGTAAACAGTCTAGAATTCATTGCACAGCTTACCCATTGCCCACCAGACAACGAAAAAAGCAAAGAAACAATTATAGTAATTCTGCTGGCCAATAGATAATTAAAAGCTCCTGAAATCACTGTATTACTCAACATTGCAGGCGCATATATCGTTTTACATTTCTGGGTCAAGGTATTACGTGACTGCGATATATACTGTACACTGTAGGACATTGTTTAAAACACATAAACAAACTTGCACACAAAATGTGGTCGGAGTGTTTTTGGCAAACTCCACTTTTGACCAAAAATTGGTAACACCTTTTTCCACTGAATCCTTCAACTGAAATGACTGCAGCTAAAAAGAATAGTCACCGACGGCAATCTCGATCTTGGTGAGTTATACTATAGAAAAATGGGTGGAAAGTCTTCTAGTGGAGTAAAAACAGAGAGAAATTTCACTCCAAAGTTTAATGTTAGAGTAAGTCTAATGTAGGGTTAGGGATTCCATTGTAGTTTGTTTAGGCAACTAGAAACAGTCACCACGGTTTGACTTCACTAATAAATAGCCAAGTTTGTTAGTTCTACAGAACTGTGGAAAAAAAAAGAAAAAAAACAGGACTCTTACACCATGTTCAGTCAGCTCATAAACATTGAATTTCAAACTAGCTTGCCAAACTACAGTAGCCAAATCGAATACAGCGATCAATGTTGATGACTGTACCAAATAGCCAAAACGAAGGCCCTTTAAATAGGGCTGACAGATTAAAAGATTTATCCTTCTGCATAACATATGGGTCCCATATACTTCTGCATATCTGCTGATCCCAGAAGTTCAAAACACTACAAATCAGGCTGCTTTGAAATAAAATCAACCTGGATCACAGATCTGTTACCATCGATCGCTACTTTGTTGGCCATTATCTGTGGGACTCTCTGTGTCAATAAATTTAAACTAAGTTTACTAAGCCATGAAAAGTTCACGAGAGTGATTGCAATGCATGTTGGGAAGGGTCTCTTCACCTCACATGCAAGAAAATGTGGCAGTTGATGCAAGACACATAAAATAAAAAATTCAATTAGAACTCGCTTTCCAAACTTTGACGCCGGCAATGCTTGGCAAATGGGCCACAACTTGTGAGAGGGTTTTTTTCTTGGGCAAGAACTGTACTCAGGGCTCAACAAAAAAACCCCATCCGTTCGTCCGGGACAAGTACATTTTCCTTTCAGGCAAGTAACTCTCTCTTCTCACTTGCCCTATGGATGAGAACCCAGGCAAGCTGTCTGCCAACTAAATTTTTGATATTAACAAATTTTGAAACAAGTAAATGTTAGGCACATGGGTAAAATAAGAGTATTTAGATGAAATTATAGCGTTGTTTTTTTGATTGCATGACGCCTGTTCATAGCTCAGAAATGCTTACCCAGCACATGATCAAAATCCCCCTTCTTTCTGCAACTAAAAATAGCCCATTTCAGCATGAAAATGCCATGTTTATTTCTTAAAAATAATTTCAGCAATTTTTTGTAGCATTTACCAGTTTCACCTAAAACCAACTTGACATATTTGTATCACAGCGGTAGAGGCTGTATGCAGAAAGAAGCCATATATTTCTACCACAAAAACAAAGCCCTCTCCAGCAACTAAATCCCTGTGTCAATCTTGGGTGAAACATACAAGTTTTCTGCTAGAAGCATGAGCCTATTTGGGCGCTGCTGGGCAAAATAAAAAGTATTTTCAATACTGTTAAAAAGAAATTGATTAGGAAGTCATCAAAAAAACCTTTCAGACTGAGTGTGACTGGATTTGGATGGAAAATAGTTTTTCATTCAAATAAAGACATTTTCACTTGACTGAAACTATTTTTCAACCACCCAAATGAAAAAAAAAAAAAAAAAAAAAAAAAA